TGCAGCTGCGGCCCGTGGGGCGGGGACCGGGCTGGCCCCGGAAGGAGGAGGAAATCCTGAAAAGAAAACAGCAACAAGCGGAGCTGCTGTGACAGAAGGAAACAAAATGGCGGTGCCGAAAGGGAGCCTCTGGGTCAGGGCCCAGCTGGGGCTCCCGCCGCTGCTGCTGCTGACCGTGGCCCTGGCCGGAGGCTCCGGGACCGCTTCGGCTGAAGCGTTTGACTCGGTCTTGGGTGATACTGCGTCTTGCCACCGGGCCTGTCAATTGACCTACCCCTTGCACACCTACCCCAAGGTAGGGCCCGTCCAACCGGGCTACAACCCTTCCCTCGTCGCTCGTCTTTCCGCCTCCCCGCCCCTCTGTCGGCTGTGGGAACCTGGCCGTTGAATCCTCCATTCAACCGCTGCCTTCCACCAGGGTCGCTCCTATTTTCCTCCCTAATCCTACCCGCTCCCGCTGTAATTGTCGGAAGTTTGTGCTGCACCTGCCCTGTGATGGGCTGGGGGAATCAAAGATGAGAACGCTACGACCCCCTTCCCCTGGGAGCTTGCGGTGCGCTCTAAGCTGGAAGAGGATGCTGATTATTAATGCGGGTCCTCAGCTTCAGGGAGCGTAAGGAACGGCGGGAGCGGGGGACAGGAGCAGATACGCAAGCCCAGAAAGGGTTACTTCATAAACCGCATTTACTGGGCACCTCTCTGGGCCTGGAGCTCACAGTCTGCCTGGAGTAGACAATCCCACTATGGTATGAAATGTATTAAGTCAGCCGGAGTTGTGAGACTCACAGGAAGGGCTTTCCGCCTGTGTTGAATTACTGTGTATAAGGCACCGCCACTAGGGACTGGGATGGCTTAGAAAAGAAGCTGTTGATGTATCTGCATTGAAAGAATTTACCATTCAGTGCAGAAGACAGGATCCGTGGAGCGAGTACAGAAATGATACCGCCCCTCAGGGGAGGGCGGCTCACAGCTTACGGAGGGGAGTGACGCTACCTGCGCTCCGTGCCCCCGCGCAGGTGCTGCCTTTCCTTTCATTCCATTCTGCTTCTGAAGGGTTTTTTTCAGCTTCTTGAGAACTCTGTTTACTCAACATTCTAGATTGCGTGGTGACTCTCCCACCCTTTCCCATATATAATTTGGGCATATGCCTTCCTCACCCCACTGCCTTTATTTACAAGAGCTTCTGCTGACGTTGCTGGTCTTTTTCGCCTTGTGTTTCCTTCGTATCTCTGCTGTTTGTTTAACCGTGTGGCTAGCCCGTTTTGCTCTCTCAAATTACAAAGTGACCACGAGGACAGATCCAGTGAAGTTAGGATGTTCCTTATTGCAAGTGTTTTCAGGTCTTTGAAATGAAAAGTACTAAATACTATCACTTTCCATATGTCTGTTTACATTTTACATTGCATGAGGATTATCAGTTTTCAAGAGAAAATGTGGGAGAGGGTGTTATCCTAAAATTTTCAGTCAGTGACTAATATAGCAAGAGAGAGAAATGAGAAATTCTGACTTCCAGACTTAATCAATGTATACTGCCCCTAAAGACATTATTTTCTTCTCTTTTTATAAATTTCTCATCTTAAGAGGATTGTATGGGGAAACTCATTAATATTTATTTGACATGGTTTGACGTGGAGACTTATTTTGTATCTTTGTTTGGTTTTGGATTTTATTTTTGAGATTTTCCTAGCAAATTTGTAGTAGGAACCAGAATCCTGGGAGAATAATTAAGTAATTCAAAAAGATAAACATTTCTGGAACTTTTAGGTACTTTTATAATATCCACTGCTTCCTAAACATCTGTATGATGTCTAAGCTATTTTCACTTATTCTTTAAAGTTGTTCTCACCAGGAACTCTAAATCATCTGGCTCCCTGTAAATCCTGGACTTTAACTGTTTATCCTCTGTTAGCTAGTATGATGAGAGATTTATACCCATTATCCCTTATTCTCACAACCACCCTGCAAAGTTGGGTTTTACAATTCAGGAAATTGAAGCTCTGAAAGGTTAAGTGACTTGTCCAAGGTCACATGGCCAGGAACTAGTGGAGCAGTTGGAATTCAGTCCTAAAATTGGCTACATTGTTCTGCCTTCTATTAATAAAGTTGTTTTAAAAATAATTGATTTACTTATTTCACTGATTTCTGTTGGCCTTCCTCCCAATTATTGTACTTTGCAGTACAGGAAAAAGCAGGGTGTTATAAGAAATGAATTTAGATGAGTATAAAGCTCACATAGCCTCTCTTGGTCTGGTATTTGTAACTGGCAGATAGAAATCTTATTTTAATGACTTTCAGAATTATTTCTTGTGCCCAGCCGGGCGTGGTTCAGCGGTTGAGCATCGACCTAGGATCCAGGTGATCAGGGTTTGATTCCCGACCAGGGCACATGCCCGGGTTGCAGGCTGAGCCAATCAATGACTCTCTCATCATTGATGTTTCTATCTCTCTCTCCCTCTCCTTTCCTCTCTCTGAAATCAATAAAGATATATTATTAAAAAAAAAAAAAAAAAAAGAATTATTTCTTGTAAGGAAGTAGAATACCTTAAGTGTTTGTAAGTAATTGTTTTTAACTTATTATATTTTACCCTTTAACTTTCCTTAAAAGTGCAATTGCATAATTTGCCTGGGTCTAAATACAAGAGACATAAGTTTATGTTAATAACATAAACTTGACTATGACTTGATATATGACTAGATCCTGGTCATATATCTTACAAAGTGTGAGCTCCGGAACCATACAAACCCGGGTTCCATCCACAGCTCCACTTTTACTATCTGTGTGTCCTTGCTGATCACTTAACTTCTCCTGACTTTGTTTTGTCAGCTGTAGAAAAAAACCTTCATACCCTGCAGAGCTAGTGTGAGGATTAAAGGTAATAATATATGTGGCATTCTCAGCACAGTTCCTAACATATGTCAATAGTTCTATTACATGTCATGAAACCAGTTTGGTACATACAGTACTAGTAGTGCTGAATAATGAGAGAATAGTTAGCAACTTAGCTTAGGATAGGAAAATGCATATAAAATCTATAAATAGTATTAGCGAGATTCATTATAATTACTTATATTTAGCTGGTAATTGTGTTTGGTGGGGAGCCCCATTTCCTTGTGCTCTAAATCAGAGGAGATATCTTTTATAAAAGCTTTCCAGTCATTTGTGATATCTGGAGCATGAATGATTTACTTGGAGTAATAATATTATCTAGAATATGAAACATACACTTGGAATAAGGATGTGATTCTTCATAACTACCCACTGAGTGCCTACTCTATGCCAAGTATTGTATCAGATGTTAAGTGTTAGTATGGTGCCTGGCACATTGTGAGTGCTCATTAAGTATGTTATTAATGTTATATCTATTTATTAGATAGTATAGAACAATATTAATATTATAATTGATTATAATCAATTATATTCAATATTGTGAATAAAAAATATATAATCCTCATATTCAAAATTGACATAAGTTATTGTCTCTGTTTTATAACTAAGGAAACTGAAGCCGAGAGAGATTAAGTTACTTGCCCAAGGTTGTACAAAATAAGTGGTGACACTGAGGTTCAAATCTAGACTCTTTTCACCATGCCATACATATTTTGAAAATGGTACTGGGACCCGGTGGGAGTGCCTCAGTTGGTTGAGTGCACCAAAAGGTTGCTGGTTTGATTACTGGTAAGGGCACATACTTGGGTTGTGGGTTCAGTCCCCCATTGGGGCACTTATGGAAGGCAATCGATCGATGTTTCACCCTCACATCAATGTTTTTCTCTCTCCCTCCTTCCCTTTCTCTCTCTTTCTCCCCCTTCCTCTCTCTATGCATGGTATGTCCTCCAGTGAGGATTTTAAAAAAAATGGTTCTGGAGGGCTTATTGGGTTGGTTTAACAGAAGAAAACATATCTGAAAATGAAATGGCATTCAGTAAAGCTCATACTAATGAGCTCATGCTTCCTCTGTGCAATATAAGGAAATATGTGGTGCTCCAAAGACATGAGAATTCTTTCATTGTTGTACAAAGTCTGCAAAAGCTACTCAGGTATGAAATTTATTTTAATTGCTAAAATTCTTTTAATTTCACTTTAACAATAAATGCAACTAGGACTGAGGTTCCAAAAATATGCTGCCTTCAAAGCTGTATAATAAAGCTTGCTTAATATTAAACTGCAGCCATCTCTTCCTAATGGATTGCTGCTGCTACATAAATTTTACTAATCCTCTGCTGTAAAGAAATGCATACCTTTGTATTCCATTGGTTGCTAACTGGTACATGCACATGCTGTTTCCTTCCATACTAGGTGCCTGCCAGTTTGTATACAGTGGATCACATAGTAAGTAGAGGGGGCTCCCCTACATATACTGGTTTGTTTCAGATACTATATGAATTTCATTGAAGGAAAGCCTGTTGAAGACATTGTCATTAGTCTTACTATATAGGTCACATTTTGCAGTAATGAAGAATATATCCTATCGGGCTCACACACATATGCAATGATGCCTATGACTGTTGTTTTGTATCTCAAAACTCTATTATTAACTCTATGCTTAACACTATTACCATTTATTGAGCACCTGCTATATTCGGGCACTGTGCTAGGAATAGCTATCTCCAGCATTTTTGAGGGGATTGTAGATAATTTATTGCTATTATCTCCTTTTATGATGAGAAAAACTGAGATTTAGGTAAAGTAACTTGTGCTGGGTCACTGACCTAAAAGGTTTCAATCCAGGTCTGGCTAATTCCATTGGACTTTCCCATATGGCACACTGTTGCTCTTGTTTGTGTTTTTAGTAAATAAACCAAGTTTTAAAAATCCTTTAATGTAAGTATTTTTATAGATGTACACCTCACTTTCTGGGGGCCTTTATAGCACTATTTACCATATGAAGCTAATCATGATACTTTTCCTGATAAGCTCGATGATTTGTATATTCATGTGGCAGAAGTATGCTATTGGTCCTAAGGTACTTGCTTACGCATTTCTATTTTTGCTAAAGTTCTGATTATGTCATTGTTATTTTTATTTTCAATTTTTCCCCCACGAAATATGGAAAAAGTGATTTTACTCACTAGTCTTCTTTCTTTGATAATCACTTTATGAACAAGAAACTAAACCTCTTCATATGGCAAAGGTGTTGGGTATTACCTGACTCCTATAATTTTTCTTTCAGTTATAAAATTTTTTATTGGACAGTTTATAATAAATCCTACTAACTTTGCTTTCTTTTGACCTTGTTCTCCCTGAGGGAAATATACTATTTTTGGTAATCCTCCCTGTTCTTGAATTCCCTAGGAAGAGGAGTTGTACGCATGTCAGAGAGGTTGCAGGCTGTTTTCAATTTGTCAGTTTGTGGATGACGGAATTGATTTAAATCGGACCAAGTTGGAATGCGAATCTGGTAAGATGCTATGTTAATGACATCAGCAGTATATAATATTGTTATTTTCTCTGGGTTGTGTTATACTTTTAATGTATTTTCCTCAGAAAATGACAAGCATAATGTTTAGTCATCCAGCATATTTTAATTATTATGAAGTTAGAGTTTTAGTAGCTGCTGCTAGAAATTTTATGGTCTTTAAATTTAATCTAATTGTTGAGACAGTGTTTATTTTGTACTGTGGATAGGACACCTTTGTTTAAGCAAGTGTTTGGTTTAGACAAATACAGTAGTAATTAGCCTTCTCATCATTCATCACTACCTTTTCAAGAGATAGTATAATTTTCCTAAGCCTTTCAGTCACTGGCTAGTTGGCTTAGCTCCAAGTTTTTCTTTTACTGAATCAAGCCTTTGACTCAGTATTTAATAGTGTATTCTTATGTGGGTCATGCCAATAAAAGAAGTAACCAGAGTCTTTGTCATCGTTTAAACCACTATTCTTATCTTTTGCTGAAAGAGATGTGTTTAATAAAAGAAACCTGTAATCAGGATAAAATTAACATTTAACTTTTTAAAGAACTATAATGGAATTTTCTCTATTCATTACATTACACTGTTTATTCAGTGTAGCAGGTGGTGTCTTACTTCCTGTCACTATGCCATGACTAACATTCAGCCTCTGTGATATCATAACCTTATTTTTTTATGGCTCAGTCTCCTAACTGGCTGTTGTTATAGATGTGCGTAATGCTGTTCAGTTTATTATCTAGCATCTTTGAGAAGTATATTACAAATACATGGCTGGGTTAGAAAAAAGATAAGATTGTTATAGTGGTGAAGTGTTCTATCACAAGAAAGAAATGTCTCTGGTGAACTAAAAGAAGAGATTATATCTGGTAGAGACCCATTTCAACTTGAGAATCCTGCTGCAGAACATTTTCTAAGTTCCATTTTCTTAGAATTTAGAGTGCTAGACTAATTGCTTTGTTCTATGTTTCCTTGTAATGTGAATACTCTTGCTTCTCAACTAAGTGATCCAGTTCTGAACAGTATTATCATATATTTGTGTAAATCACTAAAATGCATTATTTTGTTCAACCTCATGAAATAGGTGGTTGTATTTCCATTTTAGACATATGGAATTCAATAGTCAGAGACGTTAAACAGTCAGCCCAGGTCACATATACAGCCAACAAATGATGGAGCCAAAACTTGAGGTTTCATGTTGAATGAAGTTGTCTGTTCAATGTTTTTTCCACTGTACAAACCTTAGCTATGAGGCTCCCCTCTTATGATTGTCATCATATAGCCAGAGCCTGAGCATGTAATTAATAGATTTATACCTGAAACATTTGATGAGTGGGAGATAAAAGATAGGGGTTTTATTAAAGTAATACATTTGCTACTATTACCAAACTTGGAAATTCATATTGATGAAATTTTTTTTAGTATAATAAATTTCTTCATAAAATGCCAAATCCCTTTTCTATCTTTCCCCCTTTTCTTTCTCTCTTTCTCTCTCTTATAATCTGACTGCTTTTCTCTTACAGCATGTACAGAAGCATATTCCCAATCTGATGAGCAGTATGCTTGCCATCTTGGTTGCCAGAGTCAGCTGCCATTTGCTGAATTGCGACAAGAACAAGTACGAGATCAAAACCACCTTTCAAAATTGCCTGCTTAGATTGTACTCACTTGTATTGAAGTATTTATCACCCACTTGATCCTATTTTCGTGTTATATTTTAAATTAGTTTCCAGCAAACAGATTATATGTTTGCACATAGAAAAATCAATTATATTTATGTATAATGCTTTACTGTTAAAAATATGTTCACATACATAATCTCATTTTTTTCTCTCATGGTCTAGTGAAGATATTATCCTCCTTTTACATATGAGAAAACTGAGGCTCAGGGAAATTGATAGTTCTCTGTCCTTTTTTTCTCATCCCAGCTGCAGTTACCTTTACTCAGACCATCATCATTTCTCATCTGCATTACTAAATTAACTTCCAAACTATTTTCCCACTTTAACCTCCTCTAGTTTATCTTTTAGTCTGTGTCCAGATATTTATTTTCCAAGTGGAAATCTCATGTCATACTCCTGTCTTATGTATTTCAGTTGCTCCTCATTACATACAGGTTTAAATCCAAACCACTTATCACAACCTGGCTCCTGATTACCTCTCCTATGTCATCGGTTGTAATTTCCCACCCCTCATACTCTGAACTCCATATATAGTGGGAAAATTTTCTTAATTTGATTAACTTTTGCATAGAAAATACAGCCACATGATACAAAACTGAAAAAGTAAAAAGAGTAAATAGTGAAAAATCTCCTACCCCTGTATCTATTTCCTCCATTAAAGTAGCCAGAGTTACTAATACAGATATGTTTAATGTTTATACAAGGATACACGCATTCTTTTATTTTTTTAATTAAAGTATACATAATTGAATGTCTACTCTTTTTTCACTACATAATATTGCATTGTATGGATGTATCATTTATTTAAGCATTCCCTTATTTGTGGACATGCAGGTTTCTAATCTTTCATTTAAAAATGATACTGCATATTTTGTACATTAATGAGTCAGAATTGGAAGGTAGATGTCAGTTAGTATTAAATCTTATCAGTAGCTTACTAAATATATATTCAGCCCATAAATACTTCTCTCACCCTGCCCTGTTATCAGACGTCTCACATTTTATGCATACATTCTTTTGATTGATTTTTTTTTTCCTTCCTCTTTACCATTGATGTTCATTGTGGTGTGATTTATTTTACTTGAAAGCATTAAAGATGAGAATGGTGTGATTTATCCCTTTCCCTTTTACCTATTGAGGCCTTGCTAGGTCTTATTTAATCAAGTCTTAAGATTCTCCATATTTTTGGGTCTGATTCAAAAGCCTTTTATTCTGATATATGTGACAGGTAGCTTACAAATGTGTTTGGTGGAAATTAAAGGGATTTTCAGCTTTACCGTAGTCAGTTTTCATAGATAGATGACTAACAGTTTACTTGAATACTAATTGTTATATTAGATTCACTTAATTCTTTATACCCTGTCCTAATAAGAATTTGCAGAATCTTGATTATGTTGCTCTCTTGAATATACATATATAAATAATAATATATTTGTCATGACTTAATTTTTTTTTAAAGCTCATGTCCCTGATGCCAAAAATGCATCTACTCTTCCCTCTAACTCTGGTAAGGTCATTCTGGAGTGATGTGATGGACTCTGCACAGAGCTTCATAACCTCTTCATGGACTTTCTATCTGCAAGCTGATGATGGAAAATTAGTTATATTCCAGGTGACAGCTGTGCTTCATATATTCATCTAAATACCAGCAACAGTAAATGTGTATGTCTTGAATGAACGTGTTGGCATAGAGCCAGTCACTTACAAATATTATCATCAAATAATACTTATTTAGCCTAACAAAAACATTGGGCGTGACGACACAATGTGACTTACTCTTCCGTCTGCCCGTTGGAAGCCTATCAGTCCTCATCTAACAAGAACTCTGAATCTTCTAAATTTTATAGTGGTTAAATTGACTAAATGAAACCTCTAGATATGGGAAATAAGAATAAGTAAAATACTTTGAATATAAATAGTGGCATATATTTATATTACATATGGACATTAGAGAAAAGCAATATGATGTAATTTTTAGTTTTTAGTGCTTTTTCTTATAATTTTTTTTTTTTTTTAATATATCTTTATTGATTTCAGAGGGAGGAAAGGAGAGGGAGAGAGAGAGATAGAAACATCAATGATGAGAGAGTCATTGATCGAGCCCACAACCTGGGCATGTGCCCTGACCAGGAATCAAACCCCGATCGCCTGGATCCTAGGTCGACGCTCAACCACTGAGCCATGCCCTGCCGGGCCTCTTATAATTCTTATAAGAGAGCTTGTTGAGGAAGCATATTGCCTCCTAGAGAAGTAACTTTTCTCCTACTTCATTGCAATGTGATAATAATAGTAGCTGTTTTTTTAAGTTCTTATGTACTAGGGATTTACGTATTTTATCTCAAATCTTCAGAAAACTTCATGAGGTTGTATTTTCCCTATTTTATTGATGAGGGAACTGAGACGCTAACTTGTTTAAGGTCACCCTGCCAGTGAGTAACAAAAATAGGCTTCAGACTCAGATCACTTTTGCTCCAAGGCTCATATACCCCTACTATACTATCTTCCTTTTAATTCCATAGCTAAATTCCTTAAATTTAATTTTTTTTAATCTGCACCCAAGGCTATGTTTTTATTTTTATTTTTTAGTCCTCACCTGAGGATATGATTTTATTGATTTTTTTTTTAAAACATATCTTTATTAATTTCAGAGAGGAAAGGAGGGGGAGAGAGAGAGAGAGAAACATCAATGATGAGAGGTCATTGATCGGCTGCCTAGCGCACAACCCGGGCATGTGCCCTGACCAGCAGTCGAACCCCGATCTCCTGGATCCTAGGTCGACGCTCAACCGCTGAGCCCCGCCCCGCCGGGCGTGATTTTCTTTTTTTTTTTTTTTGAGAGAGAGAAACATTGATCAGTGGCCTCCTGTATGTGCCTCAACCAGGGTTGAAACCTGCAACCTTTTGGTGTACAGGATGATGCTTCAACCAACTGAGCCACCTGCCAGGGCAAATTCCTTAAATTTACCAGCCCTGTTGTGATACTGTCTTTCTCTCAGGTGGTAATTAAAATAAACCTTTAATTATTATTGCTGAGTGGCTTACTATAGGGCTAGTTATGTGGTTTTTAGCACTATCCTGAGCCTTTACTTATGAAAGTAAAACATAAGGAATTTTCTCTTTTAAATTCATGAATAAGTTCTGTGTCCTAAAGCTACTTACGTTAAAGCATAAGTTGACTCTTAGAGTGGAGTCCTCATTCATTCCTGATTAGATGGGAGATTAGCCCTGTTTCCCTCTTTGTGTCAATTTGAGTATAACTAGGATGGAGAAGCCCACACTCCAGAGAGTCAGTGCTATATGTAAAGTATGGATGGAGTGTTTAGCTGTAATTTATGAATTACTCACACTTAGGGAAGAATGGAATATTTCAATTGAGGAAAAATTAGAGATAATAAGCGTTGAGTCAAAAATGTTGGCAGTCTGCTAAATTATTCCCGATCAACTAGAGTTAGAACTCATTTTTGCAGGGTCTGATATTTAATGCAGTATGCTATAATTTGTCCTTTTTTCTTTTTCTTTTTTTAAATGTTTTCAGGAAGTTAAACTAAATACTTGATGATGACAGAAATCTGTCTGTTTGCAAGGCACTGGATCTGATGTTTAGGAAGTGCAATTAAAATACATTGTGGTTAATGTTTTATTTTTTATGCCATACTTCTGTTACTCTTTCTCAATTTGAATGTTTATAGAGATGATGTGTTACAGAACTTGATACTGAGAAAGGCTTAAGGAGTACAAATGACTTAATTGCTTTCATTATAATTTTAGTCTAAGCCAGAAATCCAGTATGCACCACAGTTGGAGCAGGAGCCTACAAATTTGAAAGACTCATCTCTAAGCAAAATGTCCTGTAAGTTTTATTTTAAGCAGCTTGGGGATAAAAACATTAGCAGTCAAATCTGGTTGTGGTAGAGTTGGTTGTGCAATTGTTTTTACACTAATGGAAGATGAACAAATAATTTCTAAAACAGTGGTTCTCAAACTTTAATGTCCATTAGGATCTGGAGAGCTTGTTAAAACAGATTTCTGAGTCCCACTTAAAAGTTTCCAGTTTACTGGATCTGGGACAGGACCTGAGAATTTGCATTTCTAACAAGTTCTCAGATTCTGTTGATGCTGCTGGTCTGGGACCACACTTTGAAAACCACTATTCTAAAATTTTAGTTTGTATTGAAGGATGTTGTGTATCAACTGATGAAATATTCTGATACATCCCAGTAAACTAACCAAATAGTGAAACTACCCTAAAAGTATGAGTTCCTATTCTATTTTTATTTCCATACTAGAAGTGAATTTTAACTCATGGGAATATAAAACATCAAGCTAAAGCTGAGCTTACCTTTTAAAATGTAAGCTCATGCCTTATTTTAGATATTGATATAATTAGCTTTCTAATTATTTTGCTGGGTGAATAATGACAGCACATAAGGCCATCTCTAACGTTACTTTAGAATAAACCAAATTATATTATTCAAGCCCACATGTAATTAAACTGAAAGCTTTAATGTCAGTGAAATAAAATAGGAAATCCTTAATGTAGTAGAATATCCTTTTGGTTTTTGATGTGCCACAGGAACTTGCAATTATTATTATATGTATCACATTTTACTTATAAAAACAACTGGATGTCTGTAAAGTGTATAGATCTAGAAGTAGTCATTTGAGACTATCTTTTGGAGTACAGGATATCATAAATATGTACCTTGTTATTTCAGCAGATCTACAAATAAGTTCACAAGCACGCAAGAACTATCTTGAAGATGGAGAAAGTGATGGCTTTTTAAGATGCCTCTCTCTGTACGTATTCCTCTTTATTAATGGGTATAGGAGATAAAATATAGCTTATATCAGAGAGATACATTCCTTTTTATTTTAGAATTTTATTAGCTGCTCAAAAGTAAAAAAAAAATTACCTTTTCCTTACCAAACCTGTACTTTTGGATATTTTAGTTTATTCAAAAGATAGCATACAGCCCTGTCCAGCATGGCTCAGTTGGTGGGAACGTCATCCTGTGCACCAAAGGGTCTCAGGTTTGATTCCAGCACATGCCTAGGTTGTAAGTTTGGTCCGGTTGGGGCACATGCAGGAGGCAGCTGATCAGTGTTTCTCTCACATTGATGTTCCTCTTCCTCTCCCCTCTCCCTCTCCCCTCTCCCTCTTCTCTCTCTCTCTCTCTCTCTCCCTCTCCCTCTCCCTCTCCCTCTCCCTCTACCCCCCCCTCTTCCTTTCCCTCCTCCTCACTTCCTCTCTCTAATATCAGTGAACATATCCTAGGGTGAGGATTTAACAGTAAATGAAAGGTAATGTGCATACTAGCTTAATAAAACCCAAGCAGGTAGTTTCCTTTCACAGTACAAAATTTTATTGTTAGGATTCCTTGATTTATGTTAAGAAATGTGCTTCTCCAGCCATTTAAATTAAGTATATATTAGTGTTTTGAGGATCAGATTTTTGTTTTTAGCTGCATGACCACACATGAGGCTGGGGAGGTAGACAAGGCTATAGATTAAGGGCTTCACGTTCTGTACTAAGGAGTATCAACTCTATGCCAAGTATTCTTAAGGCTGGCTGGGAAAAGTGGCACACGGGGGAATGGGTACCTTACGTCTTCCTAGGAAGGAATGTCAAGCCTTCTAAGGGTGAAGAGGGTTTTATCAAAGTATGTGTGCTTGCACTCCTCCAAGGCATTATGATATGAGCCCCCACCCCCCAAAAAAAAACAGAAAAGGAGAAAGAAAATTGGTCTTAACACTTATTGGTAACTATTTACTCTGTGTCAGATACCAGGCTAAGCACTTGAGTAGAACAGCAAACAAGTGCTTGCCCTCACAGTCTTCACACTATTCTGTCTCAGGTGTAACACTACAGTAGTCCAAACTGCATGCTTCCTGTAATGTCTTGCAATAAAGATAGTTTCTTGACAGGTTGGTTTTTTTTATCAATGTCAGTAGGGTCATATCGGAAACTAGAAATTAATGCTTTTTACTGAACACAGTCTTTAAAGACTGAGTGAGAAAATGAGGATTTAACTTTAAATTTTCCTTTTCTTTCATTTCTAAACCTGCTTTTGACATTGTGCAAAAAAGGACAGTTTGTCTTTCTCCAGTATTTAGGATTTTTGTTGCAATTTGATAGTTTTATGAAAGCTAAGTAATCACCCAATCTTAAGTTAAAATTTATTCTCACTACTTCACTACCTGGTATCTTATTGCTGATTTATTGCTATTTAACATTTTGTCATTATATTTTATGTTGTTTTTTAAATCTAACATTTTAAAACTATTTTTGTAAATGTTTAACTTAGGGAGCAACTAACTTTATAACTAGAGATTTAATCCTGTTAAGTTTCTGTGCACAAACATGAGTTATTATAATAGTATCCTACATTTTAATTTTTAAAAAATCTTTTTAAAATGCTTTCCCCCCTCAGTGATCTAATTTGACTCTTAGAACAGTGTATCCTGTGATAAGTAGATAAATCAGAAAGGTGAATCAGTTGCCCCTAATGTTATATATCTACTATGTTAAAATTCAAATCTAGGTTTGCTAATTCTAAGTCTTCTACTCATTCTATTCTGCCATAAATGTATGCTTTTTAAAGAGTCATGATTTTTCCATGATTTGCATATAAGATCACCTAACCGGTCAGTGGAATCTGGTCTTTTGACCCTTACTACATTGCTTCTTTTTATTATATCATGTAGTTATTATGAAGTTACCCTTGGCCTCCAGAATGGAAATTGAGGTCACACTCGTTTTTTCACTTGCCATTTCATTTTGGAGGGCCTCTTACGTGCCAGGCGCTGTGTTCGGGACTTGAGACCTAAGAAAAGATGTTCAGTCTCTGCCTTTATGGAGTTCTCAGGTGTGGTATGGCAGAGACAGACATGCAGATAGTGAACAACACAATAATGACTGCTGCATATTATACAAGCACACATACCTCTCATGTATAGAGGACAAGGAGTACTAAGTCTGTCAGAGGTTTCAGGCGGAGGATTTACAGAAATAGAAATGTCTTAAATGATGAGTGAAGATTGTTGCTAGTTGTAGCACATTTGTTTAAGAGATTTGACCAAACCAGGGAGGCAGGAGCTAGATAGGAGCAGGAAAGTAATCATTTTAATATCAGGAAGAGGTCTCTGTGAAGGGTAGAGGATCACATTGAAGACTTGGGTAAAACCAGGCAAAAAATTACGAGGTCTGAACTGGGGTAGTTGATGAGAACAGGAGATGACGGAGATAGTTGAGAATCTTGTAGGATTTTTTTGTTGTAGAGGTTGAAGAAATGGATTGACTATAAAATGAGTCCTACTTTTCTGGCCTAACTAGTTGTGACTGGACTCCAGATACCAAATATATCCTTACTTCATGGAAGCGAATTCCTTAGTACCAGGTTAGGGCTGGAATATGTAAATTATGTAATTTTTCATTACTCTCTTTCTACATTAGAATACTTAAAGAATCATACAGGAATTCCCTGCTTTTATATACAATGCATTTTCCAAAGTCTACCTCTTTTGCTAAGAGACAAGCAATGACTGCATGTTTTTTCCTTAGCATGTTCAAGTGTTGGCAAACCATCAAGTGACTGGTTTATGGTGTCAACTTCAGATCTTTTATTAGGCAGTGTTAGATGAGCACAGATGTGGAAATTGTACTACCTAGCCCAATTAAACTACCTAATTACATAGTTTTTCAGAATTAGACTCTTAAATATTTAAAAATAGCTTGACTAAGTCAATTATAGAAAAAGCTTTAGTTGCTGATTCTTGTAACTGGTTTTCTACATTAAGATATTTTAATGAGCCCAGCTGGTGTGGCTCAGTTGGTTGAGCATGTCCCATGAACCAGGAGGTCATGTTTAATTCCCAGTCAAGGGCACATTCAGGGTTTTTGGGCTCGATCCCCAGTAGAGGATGTGCAGGAGGCAGCTGATCAATGTTTCTCTCTCATCGATGTTTCTCTCTCTCTCCCTCTTAATTCTTCTCTCTGAAATCAATAAAAACACATTTTAAAAATACATATTTTAATCATAAGAAACACATAACTACGTCTTTACCAAGATATGCTGTGACGGGTACAGAATGCCTCATGATAGATGGATGGATGTACTCTTGTAAATGGAGCTGTAAGTTATGGCAGATTCAGTATTTGAAATGTTCTAGAGAAGCTGGCTGCTCAAAGTCTGATGTGAACCCTTTATAAAACATGATCATTTTATAATTTACCTGGTCTATACCTTAACTCTGGGATACTGGGTTTTCTTAAAGCAAGTATCATTGTAATACCTTGCAGAATAGTATATATGACATTTTTATAGCAGTCTATAATTTATAGGACACTTTTATTTGCCTTATCTCATTTAGTAATTTAAAATTACCCTTGACAGTAATTTGTTTTAATTTAATACATTCAACAAAAAGCCAGTATGCCTGATTATTTAAGTTATAAAAGTGATACAGTCATGTTACAAAAACTTGAAAACTGGAGGGAAGGGCTTAATACCACCCTAATATTATACCTATTATAATATTTCCTTCTATGAGTATGTTTTTAAAAATAGTTTTAAAGGTAGTAACCATAAAATTTTAATGATAATATTAAACTTAAATACATAAGGGTGATTGACTTCAATTATTAAGAATCTCCTATTTCTTATGAAATTTTAACATGACTAATTATTTATTTATTTATTTATTTATTTATTTATTTATTTATTTATTTTTTCAGTAACTCTGGGTGGATTTTAACCACAACTCTCGTCCTCTCGGTGATGGTATTGCTCTGGATTTGTTGTGCAACTGTTGCTACAGCTGTGGAGCAGTATGTTCCCTCTGAGGTAAATTTAATTCTAAATTTACTCAGGCCATTTGAAGACTGAGCCATGATTAGTCATTTTAAATGCCTATTTTTTAAATGAAAAAATCAAGACCTCTCTACCAATAGAATGAGAGAAGATTTGGTGGTTTCAGTCACACACCTGAGGGATGGCACACATGAAAATTACAGGTTTGCAGCACAAGAATCATTGTTCCAGTTTTCTGTAAAGCTAACTACCATAGTTACATATATGTTGGCTGGTTTAAATAAAGTGTTTCTCCCTCTCCCTGGTTCTTTGGGACCAAAAAGAACCTGTTGACATCAGTTTCTAAGGTGATACTTAAGAAAGAAGACTTGTAGAACCACTTACAGAGTAATTGCTGCTTTAGAAGCAGCAAGGCTAGAGTGTTTGATTTTGAGTTAATTTGTTCTGGTATCTAACCCTGAAAGAGATGGAAAGCTATTGTGACTCCCTTGGTAATTAAAATTTAACTGAGCTGGGCTGGTATAGCTCAGCAGTTGAGCATTTACCTATGATCCAGGAGATGGAAATTGGATTCCCAGTCAGGACACATGCCCAGGTTGCAGGCTCGATCCCCAGTAGGGAGCGTGCAGGAGGCAGCCGATCAATGACTTTCTCATCATTGATGTTCTCTCTCTCTCTCTCTTCCTCTCTCCGAAATCAATAAAGACATATTTTTAAAAAATAAAATAAAATTTAACTGACCCAATGAACATAACTTTTAAGGTAAAGTAGTTTTTTTTATTTTGGAAAAGTCTGTAATTTGATGATTGAATTTAGCTTTCAAGGAAAGAAAGTTATTTATATAACTAAATATGGGATAATGTCTGTTGATCTCAACTCCAAATAGAATAAACTTGTAGTTCTCTTGCGCCTCGAAAGTGCAACGGAAAAAGAATGGAAAGAAGAAAGGAGGGAAGTTAAGTAGAATCTAATAATTGGTATGTGCCTAGCATGGTGCTTGAGCAGTTTTACCTTAGTAGACTATAAAGATATGTTTTAATATAAGGTTTGTGCATCAGTAATTAAGATAATATTATATTTTATTTTTTAAGATGATATGTGATACAGGCAGCTAGAAATTGGGACAAGATAATGCTAATAGCTAACATTTATATAGTTCTTTAAAATTTACAAAGTATTTTCATATATCTTACATGTCCAGCAGTATTCTACAGCAGGTTTTACAGTCCGTTTTATAGATGGATAAGCAGGCTTACAAAGTCCAGTTAACCTTCCTGGGATTGCACAGCAATGAAAGTATTGAAGCTGGAATTAGCTCTTATCTTTTGACTCACAATTCCTGTGTTTTTTCCTGTATACTATCTTTGCTATTGCTGATAAGGATTTTAAGTGGCACAAATAATAAATGTTTAAAATGTTAAGGATTCTGGTACCCAGGCCTACTGACTAATTTGAACGCTTTCTACTAGGCACTGCTTTAAGTGTTTTATATAAATTAGCTCATTTAGTCCTTTCACTAATTCTCGGAGATAGCTGATATTATTATCCCAATTTTCCAGATATGAAAACTGCAAGAGAGAGTATATAATTGCCCCAGTGTCACATACCAGTAAGTTGGTAGAACCAGAATTTGAACCCAGGTAGCCTGACTCCAGAGTTGCTTGTGTAATTCATATCAGGAGCTGATCTCCTGTGTGTGCCCTCTTACACTAGGAAGATGAATATCACTGGGAGCACATGGTTCATGTTTTTGAGCCAGGATGCGCAAACTCTCTCTTATCCAAATAGTTCTTAGATGGACATTTCATTGTTTTTCCTCTCTTACCTGTTTACTTGACTTATGGAAGTGATCTCTTCTGGTGGTGCTTAGACATATCAATGCCTCTCATTGTGGTTTTGGTTTCATCTTACAGATTTGGGAAACTTTCAGATGACTCTTGATCTTTCTTTTCCCTTTAGATGTTGCCTGTGTTGTGGTAAAATTTTTTTTGATTATATAGGCTTAATTCTGTGAGAAATTCTCTCATTCTTTGGGGAACAACTCACTTTTCCCACATATGCCTCCTAGGCTCCTGTGATCATAAAGTCTAAGGCATCAGCATCCATGTGGAGTCCTGTTGACACCTGTTACATATAAAACTATCTGACTTATGGATGTTACTTTCTTGCCGCTCTCTAGATCTCTTCTTCCTATCCTTAACAATTAAAATTATGGCTATAATCTCAAAGAGCCCAGACTTTTCTAAGGAGATATATTTTCTATAAAAATGTGTGGAAAGCAGCCATTTGGAATCACTCCTCTTGGGCTTTACTTTGTATGCGAAACCACACTTTAGCTAGATATTAATGTTGTTTTCAACCATATTTTTTATTATAAAAATACTGTATACTTAGTGTAGAAATTTGTAAAGTACATATAAAGAAGCAGAAAAAAAAAATCATTCTATCTAGAACTATTGTTGTGTTGCCATTTGAGTGGATTTCTTTTTAATATAAATAATTTTAATGCATATTAAGGTTTTGTTTCTTGTTTAAAAATATTGCAGTATAAGTACTCCTTCCCTGGTGTTTTATTTGTTTACTGTAAAAATAACTGAGAACTTAGCAGAGAGTTATTCAGATTTTCTTTGCCAAAAGCCACCTATTTTTAAACTTTACTTTATTCACAAAGCTTTTTCATTGATTTTATTATTGGAATATAAGTTATTTCTGACCCTTCTCCATAGTAACATGAGATTCCATTTTAATTACACAAGTATAATTCATCTGTGAGCAGCTATTTAGATTGTGTTATGTTATTTACATATATGACCCTGTGTGTTTGTAGGAAATCATAAGCCTGCTGAGACTGTGTGTCTCTTAAGTATGGACCTGGTATCTTGGCATTTAAACAAGAAATATAAAAAGCTTCCTTTCAGTCACCACAAACAAAGCTTAAAATGGTGGTAATAAATGTCCGGAATGTGGTCTTAGAAACTTATGAGCAGCTTTATTTTTCTTATTTAGGAAAGCTCTGAGATAATTTATTTTTAGCCTGCTTTGCACATAGTTAAGTATTCATCATATGCCATTTGATCATAATGGCCAGAAAGAGCTGGCAAAGAATTTTACTTCTTTGGTTGATCTTAAAGCAGTGTCATTTTGAGTGACTTGATGTATAAAGATTTTTATCTTCTTTAATCCACATTTTTTTCCTCTATTTCACATTCATGCTGTCATTTTTGAAACTTAATGGGATTACATTTTCTCTTGTTGAGTTATCTATTTAAGATAATAAAGAGTTGGCATTCATACTGATCCTTGTCAGGCAGGTCAAACTTGACATAAGGACAGGGTTTAGCAGTATCGGACATTCCTTCCTAGAAATCAGGCAGCCTCAGAAATCTGCTACAGCAGCAGGTGTTGGTGTGCACTGCCTCATTGTTATCTTTGTGTGTGCTGCCTTTTTCCTTCTTGAGCACGAGCATGATCATTTGATTTCATGTATTCAGTTAAAGAGGGCTTTAGAAGACTCCTAATAACATTAAAGAAAACCACATACATTTATGGATAACTTGTTATGTGCTGGGCCCTGTTCAGGAAATTAAAGATACAATGAAAAATAAGATCAAGATAGAACAAAGTTTAAGGTTTCTAAGACTCAAGAAGTACTGTGAAACATGTCTTAAACTATAATAAACATTATTTTCTTTGTCTTAAAAAAACACACACAAAAAAAACAAGAATCTTGCCATTTAGAAGTTTTAAGTCTCATAAAAGAGACAAGCAGTCAGAAAACAATGTAAGTGCCATAGCTTTTTAATCCAAATTCTGTTAAGAAACTGGGTTTTAGAAAAGATTTAAGCAACTTATCCAAGATTACATAACTGGTTAGTGGCAGAGCCAAGCCTAAAGCCCAAATATATATTTACTAATTAAAGTTATATATTTTTAACTTTTAGAAGTAATACATGTAATATAAATTAAATCTTTCTCTTCCTCACTTCTCAGATAAACTATAGCCAATAGTGTTTAAATTTTTTCTGAGTAGTTACCGTTTTTTAATTTTAACTTCTGTTTTTTTTTGTTTTATCAACTTTAGACTTTATCTAATGTCTTCCTACTAAAGAATGAGGAATTAGTTCCCTTATAACCACATCCCGCCCCACCTCCATCTCTTCACTTTCTTCCATGTTGATGTTTGAACTCATTTAAACAGTTCTTGGTTGCTGTTTCAAGGTCTTTAAATGTTGCTAGGTAGAGTTGTGAAAGTTTTTCTTTCACAATGCCCCAGAGAAAATTATCACATTAATTCTGGGTTTTAAGGAGGCCACCCCATATCAGATCCAGGTCTAGTCCATCAACCACTGAATGTAGTATAAGGTACTAGGCCATCTTCTTGTTGCTGCAGGATAGTTGTTGCCTTGAAACAGTAGTCAGCAAATCAAATCTGAAACATATGAAACAAGGAAGCAACCATTACAATCACTTTTCAAATATTTTTATCACCCCCAAAAGAAATCTCATACTCATTAGTAGCCACTCCCCATTTCTTCCCAACCATACCACCACTACCGCTACCACCTGCCAGCCATAGACAACCATTACATGTTGTGACTAGCTTCTTTCACTTAGCATATTTTCAAGGTTCATCCATGTCGTAGTATGTATCAGCATTGATGGTTACTTAAAATCTTGAAAGTGCTCTTAATTCAACATATTTTAAATGCACCTTTCCAACTAAGTACTTCTATGTGGTTCTTGCTCTATCATCAGTCACTTGTCCTCTCAGTATGGTCAGCACTTCAGTGTTTAACTCATGATATAGTGATGTATTGCTATAGGAGTTAACAACAAAATCTAACCATTTCTTAGTAAATATTTTCCACTTTGGCTTTCTGCCTTTAGGAAGTAGACCTACTTTCAAAAGATATTAACCATTACCATTCTATTTCAATGAGTTTTATGACATTTCCAGTGACTCTGTGCTTTCATTCTTTTGTTTTACTGTTGTCTTGGATATGATAATAATTTAAGGAGCTTTTATATGTTTGTGAAGACCTATCAGTGTTAAAATGTTTCATGTAAATTATTTGTTCTCACAGCTTTTAAAATAGCATGTTTTCCAAATGTATTAAGTTAAAATATTTAGTAGCAGAGAAAGTATTCCAGATCATTTGACAAGCTGGTCAGAGAGCTAAGATCTTAAAGGAATTGATCACTTAAAGAATCAAACATCCCAAATCAGTGCTCTTGGTATGACCACCCTATATTTAAACCTGAGCAATTTTTCTTGATACTCCATTGTTATGCTTCTAAATATTTTAAGTTGGGACATGTGGAAAAGTTTCTTTGGCCATCACTGGCAGCTGAATCACCTATCTGTAATACTTTGAGTGAAAGCATTCTTTATTCTTGAGGATGTTTATAGAATTTTGTTTTTTACAAAATGTCCATAGATTAAATTGTTAGTTGAAGACTTATTTAGTGAGGTTTCTAATTACCCAGATTCTAATGTGCATTGATTTTCTTTTGCAGAAACTGAGTATCTATGGTGACTTGGAATTTGTGAATGAACAAAAGCTAAACAGATATCCAGCTTCTTCTCTTGTGGTTGTTAGATCTCAAGCTGAAGATCATGAAGAAGCAGGGCCTCTGCCTGCAAAAGTGAATCTTGCTCATTCAGAAATTTAAGTGTTTGGTTTTTTTTAAAGAAAAGTGTAATAGCTATCTAAATATTCATTTCTCATAGAGCTTTTAAAATTGGTTTCATTGGATATAGGGCTTAAAAATCACTATAAAATGAAAATAAAGTTACCCAAATCTGTGAAGACTGTATTTGCTATAACGTGCTTGTACTTTTTATCTAGTAATTTAATAAGAGATGGATATTTGGGATTGTATTTTTATTTTAATATCTGTAGCTACTTTATTTACATTGTTTTTGTTTTTTTTAGCCACATTCTATGAGCTGATCATTGTTTTTCCCCACTTCTCACCATGATACCGTCAATCACTTTAGTTCATAAGCTGAATGCTCAGTAGGATATGATGCTTCTGCTCAGCAATGGCCCACAACCTGTAATTTGAAATTTAGCAGGAAATGCCCTTACACTACTTTTTCAGTTGTATTGAACTGAAATCATTAAAATTTTATTTGAATAATTATGTGCTGAAATTTGAGTTAATATATTCCTGATTTTCCAGTTCTTTCCTCTCACCCCTACCCAACCTGGACAAAAATTATGAAATGTTTCTACCTATTGCCATATAATGATCAGGAAACAAATTGAAACAAAAATGATGGAGTCAGAAGTGCATTTTATGTTATTTGCATAGGCTGTAGATTTTTGTTGAGTTAGTCTTTCCAAAGAACTATTTTTCTCTGTTAGAAAATGTATCAAGTATAAGTTTAAAGATATTTTCAGAAAAAGCTTTTCATTTTGACAGTAAGACTCCTGTGGTGCAAAATTAAGTACAGATTTCATTTGGCAAAGTTACTATTGTCATTCTTTTACCTATAATAATACAGATTTTTTAAAAACAGTGATATCAGGTAACATAGATACCAGAATCTTAACATGATTTGGTGTTATTTTACCATGAAATATTAAATAACTTTGCACACCAATACTTTCCTTACACACAGGGGCATTGCTGGCAACTGAAATAGTGCTTTTTGACTAAAGAGTGGGTCACACACTTACCTTACAGCCTAGTCATCAGCTTTCTCTGAGTCAAAACCCATACAATTAACTAATTAAGACGTTGGTCACAAAATACAGGTTTCGGGTTTTAAAATAGTTTGTCTGGATTTGGAAGATAGAGGGTTAGAAGATAATGAGCACATCCAGATGCAAAAGAGAGGAGTAATTACTAAGGAGTTGTCAAGCAGTCGTCTTATTTTTTGTGAGAAAGCAGTAATAGAACATAGGGATTGGATTGGAGTACAGCTTTAAAAAAAAGCCTGGTTGTCTTATTTCCCACCCATGGTGCGTATTTAGTATCAGGTTCAGGTTTAACTGAAATACATCCAGTGAAGCAAGCTGAGGGGGAAATTCACAAAATGCTGCAGATTTATAGGAGTCAGCCTACTGTTAGGAAAGCCCTCCCTTAGAAAAACAGAACGATAAAAGGAATATCTAGATAAGAAGGAACAGCTGTATGACTGCCCTATATTTTCTCACCTACCCTTGGTTTTGTTTTTCTTTGCTTCCCGAATAAGGTTCTCCTGAGATCTCATTTGTTTTGAAAGTATTGATCCAAGTGCAAACTTTCCCCTTTTGTTTATGAGATAATTTCCTTTTTTTCCCTTTTTTTTTTTTTTTCCAGAGAGAGGAAGGGAAAAGGGAGAGAGACAGAAACATCAATGACAAGAGTCTTTGATAGGCTGTCTCCTGCATGCCGCCTGTTGGGGATCGAGCCTGCATCCAGGGCATGTGCCCTGACCGGAATCAAACTGCGATTTCCTGGATCCTAGCTTGATGCTCAACCACTGAGCCACGCTGGCCAGGCGAGATAATTTCTATCTGAAAACAACTCAATCATTCCTGGTGTTTAGTAGGCACTCAGATATTTGTGTCCTGCCCTCTTTTTATTTTAGCATGATTAAACCAGACTGACATTTCCAAAAAGAATTTTACTTTAAAAAAGAAAAGTTATCTTCCCCATTAAAAAATATATATATTGAGAAAAATGTTTGACTTGAAAATTCTAACAAAACAGCCTCTAGGCCCCTTCTCCTAAAGCCTAGGACTGATCTCTGGGACCTGGTCACAATCTGAGTGTTGCCAAGCAGACTCGGAAGGTTGTTCCATGTTGGGCTAAATTTTGAAGCTATAATGCTAGGTCAACCATCCTCAAATTCTAGGTTTGTCAACCCAGCCTCTCCCAACTGGGTGTGCTCTTGAGCGCCTCCCACCAGGTTTCCTATTCCTAAATGCGTCATGTTTATATTTGAATATCATCAGGATATGTTACCTTATTTATCTTCCTTTCCTTGACCACTTTTTCTAGACTGGGTGGGGAGGTATGTAGAGTAAAGGAGATAAAAGATTGAGATAGTGGAAAATGCAGTCTTCTGTGGAAAGCTAGATTATATAGTGTGGATTTTCAACTTCTTGTGTTAATTCTGAAGCACAGTTTATATAACTTTCCTGAAATTTGTAATTGTAAAGTGGGCTTCATATATTACGCTATTAAGTATTCTCTTAGTGTTCTTAACCTTTTTTATGGGCCTTTTTGGCGATTTGGTGAAGCCTATTGACCTGCTTCTCAGAATACTGTTCTCAAATGCACAAACTAAATGTGAAGGATTGGAAAGGAAACTAATTATACTAAAATACAATTACTTCCCTGGCCAGTGTAGAGCAGTTGGTTGGGCGTCATCCTATGCACAAGACTGCCGGTTCCATCCCGGTCAGGGCACATGCCCAGGTTGCAGGCTTGATCCGCAGTAGGGGGCGTGCAGGAGGCAGCTGACAGATACTTAGCTTTCACATCAATGTTTCTCTCCCTCTCTTTTCCTTTCTCTCTAAAAATCAATAAAAAGCCTTCAAAAAATAAAATACAATTATTCAGATATTTTCAAAATTTTGTGATAGTTACATACGTGTTTTATTACTACATAAAGCAACAAGGTCTAGTGCTCATTCTAAAACAGCTGCAATTTCACATTATTATTTTGAAACGAATGCAACAACCACAATTTGATACCTAAATGTGATTTTTATTGGTGATAAAGTCACAGGTACTGCGAATACCACTCTCAATTGTTGCCTATGTTCCTAATTGAAGGAAATGCTATATTTCAGTTAGAAGTTAGTGAAAAAAAGGATTTGATTATTTTCCCGTCCAAGTTCACTGAACCCCTGGTTCAGAGGTTGCCTGATTTTACTTTGTCATTTTATGAGTAAAATACTTCAGTTTGTTCAATTCTAAATTATTTGGGCTTCTTTTACTACCTCTTGTGTGCTTTTTGTACTTGAATTGTTTTGCAACATTGGAGCAGCAATAATTGAAGGCTTGGGTGGAAAGAAATTAGCAACTGATTAGAAATGAGAAGTTTCAACAAAAGCTCTTGATAATGTTACCTCAAGATAGATCATCGTGCATTCACTGGAACCCCACCTCTGTTAATTTCATAATGCTTAAGTCTATAAACTTCAATAAAATTCGGATCATCTGCATTAAACTATTATTTTAGTGCTATCTGTAAAAGTGTCTACTTAGATATTTCACGAGGGATTTTTTCCATTGAGTCCCATGACTTTTGCAAAGCCCTTTATAGCACTTCCCGCTTTCACCTTAAATGAGTCCTTGCAACACGACCCTAGGAGAGCAGGATGGGGTTTAATATCTGCATTTTGGAGTTGAGGAAGCAGAGTCTCTGCGAGGAGAGGTAGCTAGTCAGGGCTCCCAGAGTTGGGGAAAGCACAGGGGAGGAGTGATAAATGCTGAGGCAGGGACTGTGCCTCACCTCTAGCCTGGTCTGGAAGCAGATCTCCAGGTCCCTGGGTCAGTCTAATTGTGGTCTCCACTTAGCATTCTCCAACTCAGAGTTGGGCCCTGAAGTTAGAAGCAGTCCCAGCCCTCAAGCAGATCTCTTTGTAATTGTAAACAAGCCAAGGCGCCCAGAAACAATATTGCACCTTCAAAGGATGCAAAAAAATGTTCCCATGTGTGCGGTCACTTCATCCTCACAACTCTGAGGTAAGTATTCTTATCCCCATTCTTCAGATGAGGAAACAGACTTAGGCTCTGATTGGCCACCTTAAATTAGATAGGTATTAATTTGGCAGAGTTGGGATGAAAACAGGTCTGACTCAAGCTGGGATTTGCTGATCTCATGTTCAGAGGGTCTCCTAGCTACGACCAGGCTAAGATGGAGTCCCACACCACAAGAAATTCGGGGAAAGGTAAATCCAGGGGATCAGGGAGAGTCGAAGAAGGCTTCGTGAAGTGAGACTTTTACCTGGTGGGCAAGAAAGATTTAGAGAGAGGGAGCCAGCAAAAGTCACTAAGCAAGTAACAAGCTACAGACTGGGAGAGAGATGTATAACCAATGTGACAAATGATTCTAATTCAGCATAAAGAAATCCATAAACGAGTAAGAAAAAGACAAACCATCCATTTAAAAAAGTGGGAAAGATGTGAAAAAAACAATTCACCAGGTGGGAAATCCATATAACCAATATATTTTTAAAAGGGCAGCCTAGCAGCATGGGGTGGGGCAGGGCTTTTCAAATTGTGCATTAGAATCTCCTGGGGATCTTGTTAAGATGCAGGTTCTGGTTTGGTAGGTCTGGGGTGAGACCCACCTCTGACCAGCTCCCATATGATGTGGATGCTACTGGTCCGAGGACCACACTTTTGAGTGGTGAGGGCATGGATAGAGGAAAGGGTGTGAACCTTTCAGCCAGCCAGGTCTGTCTCCTGGTTCTGCCACTTTTCAAATGTAAACCTTGGGCAAGCAATTTAATGTATCTGTGCCTCAGTTCCCTCATCTGTAAAATGGAAACAATAATAGTCCCTATCTTCTGTGGTTGGGGAGACTAAATGAATTAATATAATAATAAAGTATGTAGAACAGCACATGGCAAAGGTAAGTGCTCAATAAATATTAGTGATTGGTCCTAGCAGGAGAAATCACTAGAGAAATGCAAACTAGCCACCCTGAGATGCCATTTCACACCTCCAGACTGGCAGATGTCAGAAAGCCTGACAATTTCAAGGCTGGGGAGACAAAGGCATCCGGCTGCAAGGGAGCTCACAACTCATGGAGTGGGTAGAAGGGGTTAGTCGGGTTAGCAACCTGTCCCCACCCCTTCCCCATCACAGGCACAATCTCAGGAAAAATTTAAATGCACATGGCCACTTTTAAAAAGAAAATAATTTAAAATTATATTTACTTTATAATTTTAGTGGAAAATGCATATTCTTTCAACCTAGATTACCTATTTAATTGAACAGAACATCAGTGAGAAAATGACCCCTGCTTTTTAGCCTCTGGAATATTAATTCTGGCTATTTCTGGCTGGATCTTCATGCCACTGGGGGCCTGAGATCCTCCAGTCTCATCACTGACATCGAGGAAAAATCATGTCCTGAAAAGCCCCTGGGTTCAAACCTGCACCCCCACCCGCACTGTGTGACTTGAGGGCCGTCTCTCTCCGCACCTCAGGCTGTCGGTTGGGGGTGAGGATTTCAGCGACCTCGGGGCCTGGCCATGGGCCTGCGAGATGGCAAGGCTGGGCAGGAGCGGGGCTCTCCCGCCTCTCCCTCCACCTGGGAGGCTGCCGGGGAAGGGACGGCCCACAGGGAGGGTGTGGCCCGGGGGGCCTCCTGCCCTCCCTCCTCCAGGCCGCCCCTGGTGACAAGGCAGGGAACCTGATCTGAGTTCTACGCACGCACCCCAGTGCCCAGAGACTAGAGCTGGGAGCTAAGAACTGGAAACATGAACAGGATCTTCCCCCAGGTAAGATCTGCCCTGAGATGGCTCCTGACCCGGGGGAGCCAACCTGGAGTAAGAGAGATGTTGAGGAGGCTTAGCCCCCCACTGCTCTGGAAGTAAGGGGAGGGGGCGTGGGGGAAAGCCTCTTGGAGGAAGAGCCGCTGGAGCTGGGCTGAAGGATGAAAGTTTACCACGCGGACAGCGGGGCAAAGGCAGCCCAGGCAGAGGGCGCAGCGCAGGCGAGGGTGCGGGCTGTGGGCAGGCCTGGCGAGTTCTCTCGGGAGGGGCGGGCCGTTCCATCTAAGGCTCTCCATGACTGTAAAAACTTCGGTGTGGCTCCATGAAGCTGGACTTTACCTCACCTACGCCCACCCCGACTCTGTTCTCTTGGGCAGCAGGACATCAATGGCAGAGCTGCCGCTGGAACCAAAGTCCTCCCTGGAGAAGAAGGTAAAAGATGGAGGGCCTGGGGCCAGTGCCCTGCAGGCCCCCTCCCCAGGCAGGGTTCCCAGAGGTTGAGCTGTTGCTATAGAGGCACACAGAGGGCACCCTAAGGCTGCCACTCTCCCAAAGACCTCTGCCCCTTATGTTGATGCCATTCGCTCTTTACTGCCAACTTCCTGGCTGGCCATGCTGACAGCCACCTGCTTAATACGGTTATTCATTCTCTCCATGCACAAGCATTTGTTGAGCACCTACTGTATACAGCCTACCTCACAGGCACTGCACAACATACAGAGTCCACCTGTAACCTATAAAGGAAAGGGCTCTGGAGTCAAATACTTGACCCAATGGGTCACCTGGGCAATTCTCTTTACTACTGAGGGATAAAGTAGGCAGGATCACAAACTTATTTAGCACCTACTTTGTGCCACTGACTTATGCAATCAGACAGTTGAAAGGGAGGAACACACATTTATTGAGCATCTACTATGTGCTGTGTCTTGACCCACATTTGATCAATGGGGAAGCAGACCCAGAGAGGCAGATACTAATCATAGCTCCAAAGGATCAAGGCCCTATTACGTGCCTGGAAATGCATGGTCTCTTAACCCTCAGGACAACTCTAAGAGCAGGGTACTGTTATGGGGCAATAACAAATGAGGCAGTTGAGGCTAAGACAGGATGGTCAAGCTGGGATCCCACACAGCTGGGAGGTGGGAGAGACAGGGTTCATATTCAAATTGGGGTCCCTCTGGTTGCAAAGCCCCAGTGCCTGTGTTGCTCCACATTGGTGTTTGTTTATTTTCAAGTCCTGGTTCATGGTGGGCATGGTGGTGGAACAAATGGTTTCTTTTTCCCCATCTGTCCATAGGGGGATTGGTGCCTAAGGGCATTCAGCTTTGGGGTGCAGCATCTTCATCTGGGCATGGGCCTCAGTTCTGCTTGAGTCTCTCCTCGGACCCTATCCTGCCCATGGCCTGTGCTGTACAAATATTTGAGGAGCAGCTGCTTGGCTGACCAGGACACTCTTCTTGCCCAGCCTCACATTGTCTTGTCTCCCAGGTTACCTGAGTTTACCCTGTGTTTGCTTACAACAAGGAAACCACTGACAAGGACTTGTAGGGATTATTGGTTTTAGATTTATGCTAAATCTCCTATTGTCTGCTTTTCCAATAGACACCCATCCCTGGCTCCAGCCACACCAGCCACTTGCTGTCCACCACCCACCACCCACCAGGCCTTTACTCCTCCTACACTCTCTACTTGGAATGTCCTCTCTTTGCACCCTCCCCTCACCTGCCTGTAGAAATCCCACCCTCCTTCGAGCACCTATGGCACTTTTCTCACATTTCCTTTACCACATTTACTACATGGCTCTGTGAGCTGCACAGGGACAGATCTGACTAGGAGGCGAGCAGAATAGGCAGCTCCACAAATATGAGTGGATTGGATGAAGATGACCTGAACTGACCTGAATTGGACCCTTTCCTTGTCTCCTGGAGCTCCGGGTCAGAGTACTCACAAAGCACCTACTATGTGCCTGCCTCTGGGCTGGAGCCTAGGGACACAGATGCATCAGACCTGTCCTGCTTCTTTCTCTGAAATAACTTAGACCCAGAGGACAGCAGCTGTACCCAGACTCTCCTTTTAACCTGTCCATGCTTTGCCTTCTAAAAGGAACTACAAACTTTCAGAGGCCAGTGACCAGAGCTATGATTGTTTTTGTGTCCTCTACAGAGCACGACACCTAGTAGGTCCTCAATAAAGCTTTCTTTTAAGCAAAAATTAAAGGAGCCAAGTAAGTTAAAGGAGAAGGATGTCTCCTATTACTGTTATATTCCCACAGTGCTTAAGATATAGCTTGGCACATAGTAAGTGCTCAATAAACACCAACAATAGCTAAAACCTTTATTGCACTTACTAAGTGCCAAGCACTGTTTTGATACATTATCTAGCTTAATCCTCTCGACAACCCTATGATAGGTATTATGACCCCCATTTTCCACATGAGAAGACAGGCACAGAGAAGTAAAGTGATGTCTCAGTGGGGCCCAGCTGGGAAGTGGGGGAGCTGGGATTCCAACCAGCATCCTGGTGGGCTGCAGAATGGACAATCAGTTGGCATCACAGAAAGGGCTCTGGTTTGGGCAGCAAATAGGTGTGAACTCACATCTCAGCTCCACATAAGGTGAGCTGAACCTTGTCTTCTCTGAGCCTCAGTTTCCTCATCTATAAAATGTTGTTTTAAAAAATAAAAAGAATGGCTATGAAGAACCTGTTATAGTTTCTGCCTCATGATAGGAGCTCGAAAAGCAGGTGCCCATCTTTCCTTGCCTCCCAAGGAGACCGTCTTGTGGAAGGACTAGAGGGCGAGAGTGGTGGAGCAGAGACCTGGGACCCTCATCCCAACTGCCACTCACTAGCTACAGGACTGGGGACAGGGACCGGTGCTTGGTGGGGGTGGGTCACAGGCAGAAATGAGAGCATCAGGGCTGGCTTAGGAGCCCCCACCTCCAGGGAACCTCTTTCTGCCCCCAGACCCCTGGTGGGGCAGGCCACTAATAAGAAGGGCCAAAGGAGGGGGGTCCCTGGGCCCCAGCACTGGCTGCTCCATCACTGGTTTCCTGCTCCACACAGCAGGCTGCAGCGCCCTCTGCTGCTCTCGCCGAGGGGCCTGCCTTTCGACTCTTGTGCTGCTCCTGCTGGCAACTGTTGCTGCCCTGATCACCTTGGTTGCCATCTTTGGACTCCCACCAAGTACACCAGGTCAGGGTAGTCAATAGAAGGTGGATCAAACTTGCTGGGAGGGGAGGGGATGGGTGGCACAGAGAAATGGGGGAACCCTGACCCTGCCTGGCTTCTCTACGAAGTGAGTTTTGGACAATTCCTTAGGGTGTGTGCTTAGACTCATGCACACACCCTGACATTAACATGTCTCTGAGCCTCCATGTACACTTCTGTAATATGAGCTATTGAGAGGACCCAGCTCTGATGACACACCTCCTTCAGGAAGCCTGCCCTGACGCCCAGTCTGGGTTAGAAGCCTCGTCTCAGCTCCCACAACCCCCTGACTTCCTCTTGCCCTGGCCTGGCTGTCCTGGGTGGTGCCATCCATCTGTGTGTCTGCCTCCACCACGCAGGATAGGAATGTGGCCCCAGCTTCAGTGGTGAGCCCCAACATGGTCCCTGCCTTCATGGAACTAACAGTTAGGAGAGCGACATAAACATTAATCAGATAAGCACGTTAAGGCAGAGTTCACGGGGCTCTGAGGATCTGGAATAGGGCCTCTGACCCAGTCCAGGAGTCAGAATTGGCACCTTGAGAAGGGAAAGGGAGCATGAAGGGAAAGTGGGAATTGGTTAGTGGGGGGGTGGCAGGAAAAGCATCCCAGGCACCAGAAACACCATGTGCAGAGTCCCTGGGGTGGGAGGAAACATGAGGGGAAGGAGAGATGGCAAGAAGGCTAGTGGACACCGAGGGCTGGGGCAGTGGGCAGGGCTCGGGGCCTAGGGCCTCAAAGGCTGCCCTGGGGAGGGAGGTCACTATCCAGAGAGCCATGGAAGGGGGTTGAGCTGGGGGGAGGGTGTCACCACATCTACCTTTCTGACAGATGGCTCTGTAGCCAGGCTAGGGGTGCAAGGGGACAAGGTAGGGAGGGGTGAATCCACAGTTCTCTACAGGCCTGTGCAGAAACGCAGGCTCTTCGGGCAGGGGTGCACACAAGAGGAGCTGCATTCAGTGGGATGGGAGGGAGGACTCTCGGAAGGACAGACACATTCAGATGGCTACCCGTGCTTCCTGGACACTGGGGAGACAGTCCCAGCCTCAGGAAAGAGATGAGTCAGCTGGCCTGGGTTATTAGCTGCGCGACTGGGCCCGTCACACCTCTCTGAGCCTTCCCTTTCTCACCTATAAAAGGGGCTAATCATGATACTTCAAAGGGGTTTAGGGAAAAAATAGAATAAAATGCCCAGATGTAAGGAATGATGGCATAACGGTCCCCAGGCCAGGCCCAATATATTGTTTCTGAGAACCTAAGCTGGTGGCAGGAGCCCACCATTAAAACCACTTTACTGACTGGGCCCTGTCCTCAGGAGCCTCCTGTGAGACTGTCCACAAGCTTTCAGTAAAGGGGGGAACCATGACTTACTCTGCACGTTCTACGTTATGGGATTATATAAATCTCAACAGTCTTATGGGTGTGTATTGTAATCCCCATTTTGCAGACAAGAAATCTGAGGCTCAGAGAGGTTGAATAATTTGCCCAAGGTCACTCAACTGGCAGGTGGTAGAGCTGGGACTTTGGCCTCCGGTGCCAAGCCCAGTGTCCTCCTCACTGCCCCAGCCCCTCAGTCCAGCTCAGGGTGGGTCTCAGGTGTGGGAAACAGGTGATGCCCTTGTGAGCGCCACCCTTGACCCTCCGGGGCCTCGCCCTGCCCACTCAGGAGCCCAGGCCTGTGTGACACTGACCAACAGGACAGGCTTCCTATGCCATGACCGAAGGAGCTGCATCTCGGCCAGCGGGGTCTGTGATGGTGTCCGCACCTGTCCCCACGGCGATGACGAGGATGAGGCCTTGTGCCGTGAGTACTGCTCAGTCCTGCCCCTGCCCTACACATGGGTTGCCCCCCAGCTCCAACTACCCCTGCAGCCAAAATGAGGCTCAATCACCCCTGACATTACCAGGCACTTTTGTGTCCTCAGGCCTTTGCTTATATGGCCCTCAGCCAGAACACCTGCCGCACCCGCACGCATATGTACACACTCACATTAGGGGATGCCTAATGCATCTCCTTGCCCAGAGAACCTGTATTCAAACTTCATGGAAAAGTTCAAGTGTTACCTCCACCAGGAAGCCTTGTCTGACTCTCAGACTAGGTTAAAGTCCCTCCTTTGGGCTCCCACAGTCCTGTGCTTCCCTGTGTCCCAGTCCTAGTCACCTTGGTTGTCACTCTCAATTGGCATTTTTCCATGGCCATCAGACTGTAAACTCCCCTGGGGGCAGGCCTGATCTGCTTGATCTTGGGACCCCAGTGACTGGCACAGGGCATGACACAGAAGGGTATTTGGAATGATTTGCTGAATGAGTGAGTGAATGAATGAATGAATGAATGGGAAGATCTTGTTCCAGACCTTAAAGACCTGACAATTCTCAGTAGAAAGGAGCCAGGACACTTTCCATGTAGGAGGAAGAGAACTTGGTAAGTTGGAGTGGAAGGAATAGGGGAGCTAATGAGGGGGAAGGTCATTATATCATCAACCCTCAAGGCTAGAAGAGATCTTGAAAGTCATCTAGTTATATCCCAGCTCATGCCCAAATCCCCTGTATTACAAACCCAACAGAGGCCACCCAGCCTTTGCTTGCATACTTCCGGGGTGGGGAGCTCACTACAACTTGAGGCAGTTGCTCCCTTCACTGCATGGTTGCTCTCCCACTAGCATCCTTGATTGGTTCCACCTCTGCCCTCTCATCAACACTTGACCCCAAGAACCACATCTTTATTTCCATAATGGTGGCACTGCATGAATTCGGAGATTGAATTTCTCCCCACTTAAGTGTCTCCTTCCCTGGGCCACACTCTCCACTCCACCAGCACTCCACAAACACATACCAACTGCCCATGCCTGTCTCCCCAGACAGGCTCCAGAAGCATTCAGGACACTTCTGACTGGTTCCAGTTAGTCTAAAGAACAAAGGCTTTTCCCCTCCCAGGTCTGGGTTATACCTCTAGTGATGTGGCCTGAGTTTGTGTTAATTTTTGGCAGCCTTGTCACACTGTTGCCTAACAGAACCCACTCTCAAGAAAGGTGCTCTGACTCCTTCTCACAAGGTATGTGAACTCATATCCTCTGAGTTATGGGACCCAGGTGCAAGACTTCACATTTATTCTTTTTTTTTTAAAACATATCTTTATTGATTTCGGAGAGAGGAAAGGAGGGGGAGAGAGAGAGATAGAAACATCAATGATGAGAGAGTCATTGATTGGCTGCCTCGCCCGCAACCCGGGGCATGTGCCCTGACCGGGAATCAAACCCCGATCTCCTGGATCCTAGGTCAATGCTCAACCGCTGAGCCACGCCCGGCCGGGCCACATTTATTCTTGTTATGTCCCAGTTGGAGAAAGCTTCCTGGAGATGAAGGAGCTTGAACCTGGACTTGAAGTGGAATGGTTTTGAATAGGTGTCAAGGAAGACATTTCTGGAGGGAGGAAAGGGCAGACAATGGTGTAGGGTGGGGGTGCATATGAGCTAATAGGGAGCGAGGAAGGGAGAGGTGGCTCCATGGGCATCTTGTTGGATATACATGGAAAGAACATTTCTCTCTTTTTGACTCAACCTCTTCCCAGGGAAATCTTCCCCTCATGCCCTTCCTGGGATGGATGCATGGTGATCCTGAGTTTGGCAACTGCCTAGGGTAACCAGGATAGTTCACCTCCAGAAAGCCCTGAGACAACTGTGGCCAGATGTGGACTTCCCCCTGCCTCATCTGTCCTCTGTAGGAGATGTGCCCCAGAGTCTCCCCAGATTCCTTGTGGCCCACTGTGGAAACCCAGATTCCTGGATCTACTCAGACCAAAAGTGTGATGGAACCAACAACTGCGGGGACTGCTCGGATGAACGGAGCCCAGGTGGGGGTCTAGGCACAGACTGGGCTGGGGTAGGTGGCCAGGCAGAGGGCAAAGGTTGACCAGGGAATCTCTGAGGCTCCCTCTGCCCCCACTCCTTGCATCCTAAAAAGAAGCTTTCCACCCCTGCCTGGATGCCTCCAGTGGTGGGGTGCTCACTACCACACCAAGTAGCTCCTTCTGGAGGTTTATTCTTCTGTGGTGGGAATTTACTTTCAAGAACACAGATGAGGAAAAAAATGGGGCTCAGAGGGTGATCATGCAAGAAGTGTGTATGTGGCCCAACTGGGGACTGAACCTGCGTTTCCCTCATCTCCTCTGCAGCTCCCAACAACCCTGTGAGGAAAGTAGGGCAGGAATCACTGCCCCCAATTTATATGTAGGTAAACTGAGGCCAGAGAGGAAAAGGGATTTAATACAATGAATGATAGGAAGCTTGGTACACCCTCCCTAACTCCAGGTCTCCTGACTCCAAGTCCAGTATCTTTTCACTACCCCAGTTTCCGTTCATTCTCTTCCCCAGTGTTCAATCAACAAACGGTCTGAGCACTGTTTGGGGCTGGGCCTCTGCCGGGTTCTGCTGGAGGACAGTCAGGAGTCAAACATGTGTCCTATCTATAGGATTCACATCACGCTGATGCCAAAAGGAAGTGACGAGGACCTGGGGAGGTTTTTCTTGGGAAGGAAGGGCATAAGAATCAAAGGAGACTTCTCAGAAGAGGCAGTATTCAAGCAGGCCTTAGAGGGTGGACAGGGTTTCAACAGGCAGAGGCTGGGCATGCACGGAAGAATGCTGGAGGCCCAGGATACAGAGCAAAGGAGGGAAGTCTATGGGGCACCCTCAGGGAGTCCTAAGTGGGCTGGTGTGGCTGAGTCAGGGGGAGGGAGGGAGGACGGGCTGGGGTAGACCCATTAATATTTGAACATGGACCATGCGCCTGGCACTATTTCTTAGTAACAGATGAGGAAACTGAGGCTCAGAAAGGGTAAGAGATTTGCTTGAGGTAATACAGCCCATGAATTGGGATCTAGATTCTCTCTCCCACAGGGAAATAAGGAATACAGTAAACCATGTCAGATGGACGGGGCTCTGGGGAGCTATGGCAGGTGTCAGAGCAAGGGGTGCCTTGGGCATTCCAGGACACTACCGCTGCTCTTTTGTTGGCTCTTGTCCCTCTAGTGACTGCATGCCCACCTTGTGGCCCTGGGTGGTGGCACTGCCCCCCAACTGTCTTCAAATATTGTGACTGTATCCCGATGAGCCTCTGCCGGGACCGTGTGCAGCACTGCTCCGACTGGTCTGACGAGTACTCCTGTCCTGGACCCTGAGTGGCACCCAGGCCAGAACAGGAGGCTGGCTGAATGGCAGTGGTAGTCCTCCACATGAGCATCAAATCGAAGAGCATGAGGGCAGGAAAGAGCATTCAAGATCATCTAGTGAGATCTACTGACTGTGTCTGAATAGGACTTGCCTCTCCTGCTTTCAAGATGTTCAGCCCCCTCCTTGAATGCCTCCAGGGACAGGGAGCTCACTATCATGTTTGGCAGCTCCTAACAAAGATGAGAGGAATCTGCTTCCATGATTTTAGGCTGCCTCCGGGGCCACACGCAGCAAATCTCCTCCCCTCCAAGTTGGATTTGCAGATCCTGACCTTATCACCTCTTGGAGAAAAGACAAGTCTGGAGCTCAAACACCAGGTTGAGGAGTTTAGCTCTTATGTAGAGTGTATGCCATCCCTTTGGTACCAGAGGCAGATATTGCTGGGCTTGGCTATAGCCTTGGCATTTTTCTCATCTCAGTAATCCTAGGAGGTGCTACTGACTGATCACATGAAATTGCACCTGAGAAGGAGCTTTGTCATCCTGCCAGCAGGAAGCCCTCCAGGAGGCTCTGAGCTATAGAAGAGAAGGTCTGAAGAAAGAGCAGCCCTTCTGTCCATCCCATTCTCCACCCTACCACTCCCCACCCTCCACCCCGTGCCCAGTGCCCAGACAAGCAGCCTAGGGTTCTTATAGTAGGGATAGTATTTTGATCCCAGAGCCTGAGTGAATGAGCTGTTTCTCTGCTTCACAACACCCAGACAGACAAGGGTGGAAGCTCCCATTAAACAGATGAGGAAACTGAGGCCCAGAAGAAGAAACGAGTTGCTCAGGATCATATAGCAAAGTCAGTGCTGGAACTGGAATTCAAACATAGTCTATGGTGTCCCAACCTTGGAACCTTTCCTGCTACCAATATGATTATATCTTGGCATGTGTGGGAAGGGGGTGTGCAGAGTCCATATGGGGTATTTTAAAAATTAGCTTGAGGGTCAGAAAGTGTCCCACCCTCATTCTGAAAGAGAGACTTGGAATCTGGCCAACAAGAGGGTTCCTGTTAAGGGAGACAGGCATATCCCCATTGGAAAGTAATAAAATCAGTTTTATCTATCAATCTCATGTGAGTTTTGAACGGAAAATGGTCATCTGACACACAGGCGAGCTCTGGTTCATTCATCACTCACTCAAGAGCCTCAGTGCACCTCTCTGGGCCAGTCTGGGTACCAGGCACCCAGAAGTGAGGAGAGCTGGATCCCAGCACATGAGGAAAGCGAGGTCTCATGGAGGAGGCACCTCACACCATGGATGGATGGGGGGACAGCAGGAAATGCCAGGTGGAGGGTACTGAAGAGGGGCCTCTGGGAGCCAGGACATGGTCGTGTTCCTGACCCTGATGAACTGAGGACCAGTTCCTAGAACAGGGTTCCTCAGGGATCCTGCCTGAGGGATGGTCAGCCCTGGTCTCTAGCACCTTTGGCTGAGTTTCTCTCCAACTGCACCACAAGTGAGGAGCTGCAGGGACACTTGGGGCATCCTGGGTTCTGACCACCGATCTAGAGGAGCTTTTTTCCAGAGGAGGGGCATTTGGGCAGGCTCTGGAGGGCAGAACTTCCCGTGGTACAGGTGGAAGCAAAGGGCATTCCCAGCTGAGGGGCCACATGCACGAAGGCTTGGATGTGTGCCAGGGTATGGCTCAGCCAGGGAATGCCAGCAGGTCAGGACAGCTAAAACATCGATGGGGTGGGGGAGAGATGGTAGGTGAGGAGGTAAGCAGGGACATGATCCTGGAGGGCACAGCATGTCACACTTCATCCTAAGGACAATGGTGATAAGGCACGATAAACAACACTATCTGGAGCTACAATGGCCTTTAATTACAACAGTTCAAGAAAGACATGCCAGGACTTGAACCAGGTGGGCAGAGAAGAAGGGATGTCAAGGGCTACTTACTGGCAGAACACATGGGCCTCAGGGACCTATGTGGGTGAAGAGGAAGACGGAGGAGTCCAGAGGCCTGAGAGGCACCTGGCCCCCTGCCCTGGGCCATGCCTTCTTCAACAGGACACCAGTCTCCAAGGGGGGAGAGGGCTGAGCTGGTCTCTGAGGAACAAGGAGCTCGTTCTGGCAATCAAATGCCAACATGTTCCTGACACCCTGAGCATCGGTTGCTGAAAACAAAGTCGCTGGAGACAGACCACAGGAACGTGAGCCTATGTTTGCTCATACCAGTCAGGCTCTGTGGCTCTCGTGACAGGAGAGAGCCCCGTTCCCGGCAGGGGCTGGTGGTGCATCAGTTGGGCCCCGTGGGAGAGAGCCAGGAGGACCTTGGTGGTCACCCAGTCCTAGGCCTCTTCAGTGGCCCGTGGCTTCTCAGAAAAGCTCCTGGAGGCACCAGCATCACGGTTGTACTTTTTACCCGCCCCTCTCAACCAAGCCCGTCCACAGGCCCCTGGGTACAAAGCTTCATTTTACAGAACGGAGAAACCAAGGCTGAGACCAACTTGTCCAAGTCCACTCAGTGTGTCAATAGCAGGGTAGGGGACTAAAAGCCAGGTTTCTTTTTTTTAAAAAAAAATTAATTAAATTGATCAGGATGACATTGGTTACTAACATTATGTAAGCTTCGGGCACACAATTCTATTACACACACATACTGCATGCAGCACGTGCTCAGCACCCCCAGCCTAGTCTTCTCCGTCACCATGTATTTGACCCCCTTGACCCTCCTCACCCTCCTCCTACCCCCTCCCCTCTGGTAACCACCACACTGTTGTCTGTGTCTATGAGTTTGTTTGTTGCTGTTTTATATCCCACGAGTGAAATCATATGGCTCTTGTCCTTTCCTGTCTCCTTTATTTCACTTAGCGTAATACTCTCAAGATCCAAGCTGTCACAAATATAAAAGCCAGGTTTCTAGGTGCACACATTAGCCCGTGCCGAGCACTTACTGCGAACGAGGCACTGCGCTAAGAGCTTTACCTCTCATCCTCGCTGCAGCGCTCCGAAGGAGGTACTGTTTTTACACGAGGCTTAGACAGGCCAGGCAGCTGGTTGCAGGGCATATGACTGGTGGGGCTCAGAGCCAGGTGTCTGGGCACTTAGCAATGGTAGTTCACTGTTTTATGCTATGTCTCATGAGGTCTGGAAGCTTCCAGTGGCGATGATGCCTGAGCAAGGCAGTGATGGAGCCAGGTGGGAAGCAGGGACAGGGGTGTCCTAGCCGAGGAGTGTGAAGCAGTCCCCCCTGGCTGGAGCTGGAGCGTGAGGAAGAGCCTCAGACTCTGGGCTGCAGGGAGTGAACTTGACTCAAGGCTGCAGGGAGCTGGAGAGGAGTTCAGCAGGAAGAACAAACTGGGTTCCTCCTTCTGAGGAGGGGCTGTAAAGAAGGCTCCCCCCTCTGTACATTAGAAATAAGGACGTCATGGCCAGACTATCTGCAGGCTTATGGAGAGGAAAAAGTGAGATCTGGCATGGGAACAACACTTGGAAACAGTAAAGCTTCAAGCAGAAGAAAGGGGAGTGTCAAGTGCTGTGTTAGGAGATTAATGAATATTAACAGACAATATTTAGTGAGCAGTTAGTACATGCCAAGCATCATGGCAAACTTTTGTATGTCTTATCTCTTAGATCTCATTTCCAGGAACCTGGTTTGGTTATGCACATTTACAGAGGCATGAAATTGCTTAAGATCACACAGCTTTTATTTCTTGTTAATCTTCATCTGAGCATATTTTTTCCATTGATTTTTTAGAAAGTGTAAGGTAGGGAAGGAGGG